GAGGAGGAAGGGGAGGCAAGAGGGAGGCGGCGGAGCCGGCCTGAGCCGACCCCTGAGCCGAAAACTTGGGAGCGACGCTGTCGCCACCCCCGAGGCCCGTCGCGGGCACCGTCGGAACGATCCCGACTGCCCACGAGGCGCGGGGACAAAAACAGAGCACGCCCAGTGGCACTGGCCGATCGCCCGTGAGCGACTGGCCCTCCCTCCCCCGCTGCAGTCAACCCGTAGAATGGGGACGCACGGTAAGGATGCAAGGGCCTTGGAAATCGATTTCGAAGCTTTTCGAGCGGGGCGCGGCAAGCGAAAGTGGCCAAGGATGGGCCGAGGAGGCAAGAATGCAAGGGTAGCCTTGGGAAGGCTGCCTGGCCCTGCTATGCGGGTTGACTCTATCGCCCCCCGTTCGTCGAAAGGGGGGATCACAGAGGGTGGGTTCGCGACTCGGCTCAAATGGCTGAGTTCTCTGCCGCCTCCCGGCGCCGGAGGCGCGGCCGAAACCAGCTGCACGCGATAATTTGTGTGATCCCCCCCTTCGTAACTCCCCGCTTCGTGGACCGACAGGCCACCGCTAACGACGACGTCGGCTCAGGCTGCGGGAGGGAGGAAGGAGGGAGGGAGGGAGGAATGATGTTGGATCAGGAGGGGGGGAGGAGGACAAGGAGGGCGGGCAAGGAGGAAGGGATTGGGAGGTGAGGAGTGAGGGGATCCTCCTCGCTCCTTTTCTTTTTATCTCTTCCTTCTCCTCCACCATCCCTCCTCCTCCTCGTCGTCGTTCTCCTCCATGTTCCTTAACGGCAAGTCCTCCCCGTCGCACCGCCTGTCGTGGCGGTGGAGCGGTCCAGGCGTTTCATGAGACTTCCTCACATTTGGTGGTCCTGAAGCTTGCCATTCCTAACGCATGCACGGATGGGAGGCGGGTGGCTTCAGCGCCGTATACATTCGTCCTGATCTGCTTCAACCATTAGACGGACGCATGCGAGGCCGTTCTCAAAATGTGGTGATCGCCTGGGCGCCTTGTGTATCTGCCTTAAAACCTACCAACCGGTACACCGATTGACATGGTGCTTCTATCACTCATGTCGCTACCTCCTTGCGCATTCATCTTGTACGCTCCCAATAATTACAGACGACAAGCGGGTGGTCTCTTTTCGAAATTGGGCTCTCCCTGGAAAAAAAACCTCATGATTGCCACGACGCCGACATGCGCCGCAATTCCACGGATGGACGGCGGCGCCTTTCCAATTATTGGACTCTCACTTGATACTCTCTCTGCATGCCTGTCCACAGGAAGCTGACGAACGGCAAGACAAATGAAGGGTAGCTCATTTTCGAAATATGGCTCTCGCGTGGTATTTCCGAAACTTTTCAATCATCACACTTTGGTAGCTCATTTTGCTGCGATGACGGAGGGTGGCTCCTTTTCAGAACGGGTATCTGGCCTGAGTGTCGAGACCACGAGGCGTTCGTCTTTCGGGGTGCTCCCCAACTCGAAAAAGCACAGTCATAGAGACCCATGATGAGGAGACCTGTGACGAGACGGCGCATCGCAATATCGTTGATACATCATGGGTGTACTCTGGTTCCCTCCTCCCCCCAAATCCTGTTCCTCCGCCTCTTCCTCCTCCTCCACCTCGCCCTCCTTCTCAAGTCTCCGTCCTCCCTCCTTCCTCCTCCCCCCTCCTCCCTTCTCCCCCAATTCCCCCCTCCTCTCCTCTCCTCTTTCTTCCTTCCTCCCTCCTCCCCCCCAACTCCCCTGGAGGATCAGGCAGGGGGAGGGGTGAAAGCGGAGGAGAATGGGGATGGGCTGTGGAGGTGGGGTCAGGGAACACGGAGGACCGTGGATGACGAGAATGAGGGAAGGGATGCGTGTGAGCACCACGAGGAGCACGGAAGAGGAGGATAGCGAGATGGGGGAGGCAAAGGACGGGATGAGGAGGACCTGGAGGGAGGAGGAGGAGGAGGGGGATGAGGAGGAGGAGGAGGAGGAGCAGGAGGAGGAGGAGGAGGAAGAGGAGGAGGAGAAGGAGGGGGAGGAGGGGGAGGGGGAGGAGGAGGAGAGGTGAAACATACGAGCAGAGGGATGATGAGGGGGTGGAGGAGGGAGAGGAGGATTTGGAACAGGGTGAAGTTGCACGTGGAAGAGAAGGATGAAGACGAGGAGGAGCCGGAAGGAGGAGGAGGCCTCTCCGTCCTCCTCCCCGTCCTTCCCGTCCTCCCCCTCCTGGTCCTCGCCCCTCCTCCTCCTCCTCCTCTACTCCCTCCTCCTCCTCCTTTCTCCTCCTCCTCTCCTCCTCCGCCGTCTCCTCTTCATCCACATCGTCATCCTCCTCCTAATCCTCCTCTCCTCCTCCTCCTCCTCCTCCTCCTCATCATCATCATCATCATCATCATCATCATCATCATCATCATCATCATCATCATCATCATCATCATCATCATCATCATCATCATCATCATCATCATCATCATCATCATCATCATCACCATCATCATCATCATCATCGTCATCGTCATCGTCATCATCATCATCATCATCGTCATCATCATCATGATCATGATCATCATCATCACCGTCACCATCATCAACATCAACATCAACATCATCATCATCATCATCATCATCATCATCATCATCATCATCATCATCGTCATCATCATGATGATCATGATGATCATGATGATCATGATGATCATGTTGATCATGATGATCATCGTCATTGTCTTCGTCATCCCCCCGCCTCCCCCCTGCTCCCCCTTCCTCCTTCCTCCTCCTCCTCCTTCCTCGTCCACCCCTGCCCGAAACCCGTGGAAGAGGACCGGGGCCACCTCCACGCCGCGCTTTCGCCACGCGTCGAAGCGGTCCTCGTACGCGAGCGCTGCTGTGGTACGCGCGCCGAGGTAGAGACGGCTGACCTTCCCGTCAAGCGCGCCCGACTCGATGACGGCGCGCATGGGGGCAACGCCGGAGCCCGTAGCGAAGATGCCCACCTCAAGTGAGAACGGAAGCGTGGATCTCGCTCGGGGGGGGGGCCCTCCGTTGCTCGGTGCCAAGCTGGCCGCCGGATGGGCAGCGGAGAAATGTGGCCGCTCTGTATGGCTCTGTGAAGCGAGAGCGGGGGTCGAGATTTTCCGGCAACGATGCTCACCGTCCGACAAGCCGCGCACGTCTCACACACCTGCTGACTGCGGGCGCTGCTAATCATATCGCACTGCCACGAAAATCACGAGACGCAGCTGGAACGAAACGAAGGACGACGAGGGGGTAGACATGGATCTACCACAGCACCGATTACTGGCGGCGCGCACAAAGGGGTGGAAAGAAGGGGGAGGGCTTCTTAGAAGGAGGCTGCTTCCAAGAAGCCCGCCACCCTTCCACTCCCCCCCGCGCGCGGCTGACTGTTTGAAGGCCCCCCCCTCAATTTGACAACGCCTGCAATGACGCCGACAGCGGACCCGGTTCACAATGGACATGGGCTGCTGGGTGAGCCCTCGTGGGGGCCTCTGCGGACCTCCGCGGCCTTGTCGTAAACGTGATGTCGACAGGATTTCGTCCAGACTTCGTCCGCCCCTCCTCACCCTTTCGTCCAGATTTCGGCTAGAAGTCGACCAAAACTGGCGACATCCAGATGAAATCCCCCGAGCCGCAAAGAAATTTTGGACCATCTAGGGTCCCCATGAAGGACCGCGCAAGAGCTGCAGTCGGTCTCCATGCCCTGTTTTTACGTACCCAGGTCGGCCGTGCCGATTCAGGGCAGTGCCGCCCCACGGCTTCTCAGAGGCGGGGGGCCTTGTTAGGAGGCCGCCCCCTCAGATCGACAACGCTTGCAGCGACGCCGACAGCTCACCCTGTTCGAACCTGACAGGCTGTCTTCAGGCGTCCACGCGCCGAGCTTCTCCGAGCTGCCCGTCCTGCGGAGCGGGGGCCCAGCGCCTGCAGCCTTTGCCTCAGCCCCTGGGTGTGGGCGCGACGCCGCTCCACGTCCACTGCCAGGGCACCTCAGCAACGGCCGGCCGCACCGGCCACCCCGCGGCTTCTCGGAGGCGGAAGGCCTGCTTGGGGGGCCGCCTCCACCCCTTGACCCCGCCCCCGCCGGTCCGCGCGGCAGGGGGGCGGGTACTGCGTAGAAGGGGCGGGGGGGCTAGCGAATCGGCTCGCGTAAGCTGGATATCCTGGCGTCTGCCAGCGCCGGGAGCGGCATTGTGTCTGCGGAAAGTGCAACCCATCTCCACTCCTGGCCAGGGTCCCCACTCGCGACCTGGTGATCCAGGGGGTCCTGGGTGAGGGTGAGGGTTTTGTTTTAAGGGCGCCCCGCGGCGAAGCCGAAACCAGCCGATTGCGCCCCCCGCCCCCCCGTTTCGTCCGCACTGGCCCCCTCTGGACGAGGATGATGATGGTCCAATTTTCCACCGCCACTCCCATAGGTGGGACAGGGGAGAAGGGAGGATGGGGAGGTCCTCCTCCTCCTCCTCCCCCTCCTCCTCCTCCTCCTCCTCCTCCTCCTCCTCCTCCTCCCCTCCTCCTCCTCGCCTCCTCCTCCTCCTCCTCCTCCTCCTCTCCTCCGCCTCCTCCTCCTCCTCCTCCTCCCCCTCCTCCTCCGCCTCCTCCTCCTCTCCTACCTATGGTAGTGGTGGTGGAAAATCTGCCCATCAGATGATGCTATGATAGGGTTGGCTCAAGATGCGTTTCAGGACTCTCGGAGTGTCCGGCGGCCTTCGCTTCTGGAGCCCGTGCGGAGCACGTGGGAATCCCGGAAACCTTGAACATCTGAGAACGCACCATTCAAGGGGCCCAAGGACACACACAAATAGAGAAAGACACAGATCGCGGGATTCCCTACTCCAGATTTTGTAATAAAAGGGAGGGGGTCTGGACCCTCCAAGACAAGCCATTTCAGACCTCCCCCGTGGGAGAGACCTCCCAAACATCGTCCCCAGACCCCCCAGGCCCTCCAAGATAGCCTGGAAGAGACCCCCCCCGAAATGAGACCCCCCTCCCTTTATTA